TAAAAGTGTGTAGGTATGTATGTATAAGTGTAGACACAAAAATGTAAAGTATGTAAAAGTGTGCAGATATGTATGTATAAGTTTACACAAAAATATAAAGTATGTAAAAGTGTGTAGGTATGTAGACGTGCATACACACAAAAAATGTCCCATAATTCATAGATAGGATAAGCACACGAACAATACAGGTAGACAGACGGACACACACAGCGAAGCCAAAAAGGAGAGGAAATAAAAGCCAAGACCCAAGACGGGCGGTATCTCCGTCCTCCACACGCGAGACAAAAGCCTTCGAAAGCCATATAGAAGAGAGAAAAATGAACCCCCGTTTTCCCAGCTGTTGTACCACGCCACTGTGGCCAGATAAGAGAGTCCCGACACCGTTGCCACCACCTCCCGAAGGCTATCTCACGGGGAAGGGGGAGTCGAGTTTGGTAACTGTGAGGGAGACGAAGAGGTCTAACACGCGCGGCTGGAATTCTGAATGAATGGGGCGTGCGGGCGAGGATCCACGTGTTGCGCCCGTCCATTCATTAAATGAGGGCGCTATGTTTACAAAACGAAAACAGATCAGTTTTTTTGGTTATTGGATTTCTTGTCTTATGATTTCGGTTCAGTGAGTCCAAGCTGGTTGCACGTTTTGGGTCTGCAATTGAAAGTGTGAAGCCAGTTTTTGATCTCATGGGTTTTATAAAATCATTACTTCTTTCATGTTTCTCTTCTTCGTACTAAGAATCATATTGTGTTATTATCTATCTGTCTTTATTCGTTCTTAAAACAACTCATTTTCTTCCTGTTATAAGAATTTGCCAACTCGTTATTTCTGTGTCATTATGATAAGTTTGACTTCATTAGTCTTGATTAGAGATTCATAATTCTGCATACATATTAATTGATCTATTAATATCTTCTTTATAAATCGTTTCTTGTTGTTTAATTAGATTTATCAGTGTTCCTTCTTGTAATCTACGGCATCATTTCAAGATCTTGCATTATGTTATTGCTACAGTTTAAGATCATACCTTTGTACATTTTGTATTGGTTTATGAGAGAGAGAGAGAAGAGAGAAAGAGAGAAGAGAGAGAGAGAGAGAGAGAGCAGAGAGAGAAAGAGAGAGAGAGAGAGAGAGAAGAGAAGAGAGAGAGAGAGAGAGAGAGATGAGGAGAGAGAGAGAGAAAGAGAGAGAGAGAGAGAAGAGGAGAGAAAGAGAGGAGAGAGAGAGATAGAAAAAGAGAAAGAGAGGAGAGAGAGAGAGAGAGAGGAGATAGAGAAAGAGAGAGAGAGAGAGTTATACACATCACGATTCATTTGATTTAAGTCTCAATTAAATCAAAGAGAGGAGAGAGAGAGAG